CTTGCCTACAGCTCAAAGGTTGGCGAAATCGTTTATGTCTCACGTGGTGAAAATTCATCAATTACCTACTAAGTTAATTTCTGACAGGGGGACCCAATTTGTTTCTAAATTTTGGAGGGAACTTCTTTCCATTTTAGGGGTGGAACAAGGACTCAGCAGCGCGTATCATCCCGAGACTGACGGACAGACGGAACGAGTTAATCAGACCCTGGAACAATATTTGCGTTGTTTTACTAATTATCAACAGAATGATTGGTGTGACTTATTGCCTCTTGCTGAATATTGTTATAATAATACTGTCCATAGCTCCACAGGCATGTCTCCGTATAAAGCTGTCTCTGGTTACGACAGCCCCCCCCTCCCTTTCTTGGAGGGGATGGGCCAACGTCCTGTGGGGGATGCTGATACCTGGTGTATGTCCTTGCAAAAAGCATGGCCTCTGTTATGCCAAACACTTGACGCAGCCAAGGCTGCTTACAAGACCCAGGCAGACAAGGGTAGGGTGGTGGGGTTTGATCTGAAACCTGGGGATCTTGTGTATGTCTCAACCAAGAACATTAAGATGCTGCGGCCTAGCAGGAAATTGGGATGGAAGTTCATAGGCCCTTTCAAAGTGCGCAAAGTCATAAATGATGTGGCAGTTGATGTTGTTTTGCCTAAGAATTTACGTGCCTTGCATTCTGTATTTCACATGAGCCTGTTAAAGAAGGATCCTGGCCCGTCTCCATGGAGACCTGTAACTACTCCTCCTCCACCTGTCATTTTGGAAGGGGATGAACATTTTGAGATCGCTGATATCCTGGATTGTAAAGTGAAACGTGGTAAACTCTGGTACCTTATCGAATGGGTTGATTTCGGTCCCCAGCACCGCGAATGGGTGGAAGAAGGGGATATTCGGGCCCCTTACCTGATCCGTAGTTTCCACAGAAGGTTCCCGGACAAACCGGGAGGTCTCCCGCCCAGCCCGGGAGATCTCCCGCCCGGCCCGGGAGGTGTGTTGTAAGTGTATTTTAAGGGGGGCAGTATGTCAGCAAGCTGCCATTCTGTTTTCTGTGACCTCTGTGTACATATTCTTTCCCTGTTGCACCCGGCTTGGTTTCTATCATCCTACTCCTGCGTTGGAATGCAAAAGATAACTGCTGGAGGTTGTGTGGGGGAGAAGATGCTGTAATGCTTGGCTATTGCTTTTCCCATGACTACTGCACCTGTGTTATGTCTAATATCCTGCCTGGTTCCCATGGACTGGGCGCGCAACCGTTCCATTAGCCCGCCAGCGGGAAAGTTATTCATTGGACCTGTATCTCTTTGAAGTTCCTTTATTATGCTTGATCTAACTGTGTATCCCCAGTTCTAACAAAGAACGTGTTTGAGTATGTCGTCAACGCTTTGAAATAAATTTTGCTTTTCTTAAAACGTGGATTTATTCTCGATGCTTGGGGATCCAACACTCAAAAGTGCCACAGCAGAACTTTCACAAAGAGGACTTCTGGTACTGTAGTCAAAGTCGCTCAGAATCTCCTAGTGCATCATTATAAAACAAGGGAAACATTTCTGTTTGTGTGTTCTGACATTCTACAGGTGTTACTGGTGAACAAAATAGACGTATAGCACCAGCCATTAAGTATTTTTATTTCAGTACCATTATATACCATTAATTGAGCTGCGGTGGCTCAAGTGGTTAAGACGCTGAACTGCAGGCTGTGGAAGGTCGGTAGTTCAGCAGTTTGAGACCCGAGTTGCCGCATGACGGAGTGAGCTCCCGTCTCTAGTTCCAGCTCCTGCCAACCTAGTAGTTCGAAAGCAAGAGATTGCAAGTATATAAACAGGTACCACTTCGGTGGGAAGGGAACAGCATTCCGTGCGCCTTGGTGTTTAGTCATGCCGGCCCCATGACCACGGAAATGTCTTCGGACAGCGCTGGCTCTTTGGCTTTGAAACGGAGATGAGCACCGCAACCCTAGAGTCGGACTCGACTGGCTTTCGAGCAAGGGAACCTTTACCTTTACCTTTACACCCTTTGAAATGCTCTGACAGTGCGACCCTGAACAGAGTTATACCATCCTAAACCTATGAACTTCTCCTGTAAAAGCCCTACTGAAACGAATAGTAGCTACTCAAAAGTGCCACATCATCACTATAGAGACATGTTGGACACAATGCTATATGCGGCTAAGCTATCTATAGCATCTTGCTGGAAAGATATCTCCCCCCCTAACATTCAAACTTGGTACAAGAAGCTGTGGAATCAGTTCATTATGGAAAGCATCACTGATAAAGTTAACAGAAATAAAAGGAACGTCATACATTTTGGGTTCGAAGCCAAATGGTTGCCAATTTTAGAAGCTCTATCAGACAAAAAATTTATTTCAGCATCCTGGGATAACTATGTTAAATGGTTGTGAGGATTTTTTATGGTTCAAATAAAGTATAGTAAGTAGGCTTTGGTAAAACTTGATCTGTGGGTAGTACTTTGTGATTAATATGGTTAGATATATCATTGAATGTCTACAGATATTCTTGAGGGCAGAAGACACTTGGTTGTATCTAAAGCAACAAACAGTACAGGCATCAATTACAAATTGAGGCTAAAATAAGTCACTTTGTTCAAAGATTTATTGAAGAATGTATAATTCTTTAAAGCTTACTTTTTTGTAATTAGTGTGTTGGTTTGAATGTAGAACTGTTCGTATGACCTTTATGTATATTTTTATTGTTATATTTGTTTTATTGTTTTAATCCTACCAATAAAATGTTAATGGGGGGGGGGAAGTGCCACAGCAGAACTTTCGCAAAGAGGACTAGTCAAAGTCACTCAGAATCTCCTAGTGCATCATTATAAAAAAGGGAAACATTTCTGTGAGTGTTCTGACATTTTACAGGTGTTTATTGGTGAACAAAATAGACGTATAGCACCAGCCATTAAGTATTTTTATTTCAGTACCCTTATGTAAGGTTTTAGTAGGGATCAGAACAGTTCCATTCCATCTTATTCACACCGCAGACAGGGCTGTGGAAGGTAGATGGGGTTCTACAGTAAACTCTACCCATGTGCAAACAATGGGTCAAAAGGGCTTGCAGTGCACCAAATTCCTG